AAAAAAAAAAAAAGAATAAAAGGAAACAACCCAAATATTAATTAACAGAATAATCAATCAATAAATGATGTAACTTAGTTTTGTAAAAAGATATGGAAGCAGTCATTCTAAGCAAAATATTAAAATTCCATTAATAGGCTTAGTAAACAAGACTTTATACCTTATTTCTCAAGACTTTATACCTTATTTCTCTTGGCCTTCATTTGGGCTTTTGCTAATAGAGTAATCATGGTGATGTCAGGCCTATTCAAAGTGGCCTCATCCAAGACCTGAATGGCTTTGTCATGATTTTCACAAAATGAATAAATAAGTGCTTGCTGTATAGGACTCAACTCAATGAGACCTAAAAGAAAAGGAAAGTTTACCAATACCTTTGTCAAGTATCTAAGATTTAGAATATATCTAATATTTTGAGAAAGTCAAGCAACTCAGTGACCTATCTTTTAATATGAATTAACAAATCAATATGATACTAAAATCTATTTACTATCAATAAACAATAAGACATTCCAACACAACCAAAAAAAAACAAAAAGTGTAAGCCTGGTATTTCCTATAATTATCCCTCTCACAAAATTCACTATTATGAACCATTTTACTAATTGATTATTTACAAATGAAATGGAACTTTTAAAGTTTCAAAATCTAACTTTGATTTTCAAGTGAACCCTTCAAGCTATCTATACACAGCTATTGCAAATAGTGTAAAAATTTTAAAGAGATGTTTACTTTTAAGTTAATTCAATTATAATTTTGCATTAATTATATTTACCTTTGTTCATGTCTGCTACTTGATAAATAGTGAACTTTGCAAGATCATAACATTTCATCATAAGAAGATATTGTCCTCTGGAAGAAATAATACCATTTTAATTCTAAACATTTAAAAAGAACTTTTCCAGAGCAAAGTTTCTTATAACCAGTTACTTAAAATTTTAAAATTATAATACATTTATTTATTTATACTTACATATGTATGATAAAAATGTGAAAATTATAAACATTTTATGTAGTCTAAATGGACCAGTTAGCTTGGAGATGTGATGAAAAAACAATTTAGGAAATATGAAGTTGAAAGAAAAAAACTCAAATCCTTTTGCAGTTATCTGTATTTAGAATGTTAAACTCTGGCCCTAGCCAGTTNACTTACATATGTATGATAAAAACGTGAAAATTATAAACATTTTATGTAGTCTAAATGGACCAGTTAGCTTGGAGATGTGATGAAAAAACAATTTAGGAAATATGAAGTTGAAAGAAAAAAACTCAAATCCTTTTGCAGTTATCTGTATTTAGAATGTTAAACTCTGGCCCTAGCCAGTTTGGCTCAGTGGTTAGTGTGTTGGCCAGAGGACTGAAGGGTCCCGGGTTCCATTCCAGCCAAGGGCACGCACCTCAGTTACAGGCTCGATCCCTGGCTCCAGTCAGGGTGCTTGAGGGAATCAACCAATTGATATCTCTCTCTCAGATTGATGTCTCTCTCTCACATTGATCTCTCTCTCTCTCTCCCTCTCTCTCTCTCTCTTTCTCTCTCTCCCTTCCACTCTCTCTGAAAAGCAATGGAAAACATATTCTCAGGTGAGAATATATAAAAAAAGTTAAACTCTGTTGCTGAGAAATTACTAAAAGATAAACACAGTTCAAGGGACATAAAAATGGAAAAGTATTTACATAAATTGTTAAAATGTGGTTCAAGAGTTTAAAAACAAAGCAAGCCCTTATCAGAAAGCATCATTCTAGTCCATTTTCCCATGCCTTTAAGTCCGTTTCCCGTGTTAGAGACTATAACATGTTTTTGATGGTGATAACTCATAACTGGCAGTGGGTTTCTTTATGGAAAGCTCTACGATATTGAAATGCAATTCAATATCACCTTTTTTTCTTCACTGAGCTAGCTGAGGCTTACATTTGGTACCTCTGTGGACACAAACAACTGTTCAAAACATGTTACCTTACTTTCATGAAATATGTGATAATTATATAACCAGCCATCTAGAGGTGCCTCAAAAGACATAAAACAGTTGTGTTCTGATGCAAAGATAGAGCAGAGGGGAAGTTCTGGTTATCTTATATTATAAATTATCTCGAAGCTTAACAAAAACAGTAACTGTATCTGACTTGGTAGTTGGCAGGTGGCCGGTGCTGAAAGGATCAAGGGAGAACTTGAAGAATCCTGCTTCTATGCCCGTACCTTATTATGTACAACTGTATTCCATCTGGCTGAAGGTGGATAGCACGAGACAGCTCTCTTACTGCCTTAATCAATTTATTCGCCTGTGGATTAATAAACAGACACTTAGCTCATAATAACACTCAATGCCTCCTTTCTGATGTTGATCCCCTCTCATCCTTCCACACAGAAATTCTGCAGAAACAACTCCTAATATACTTTTTTCTTAAGAATTATCATAGCAACTGGGACACAAAGAAGTAAAAAGAAAAGACTGCGATGCAGTCTTTTGGGTTTTTTAAACCATTTATCTTTCTTTTTGAAGAATTTTTATGTATACCCACACATATAATTTTACATAAGTGTGATTATATCATACATTCTGGTTTGTTTTTCCTTTTTGTTTAGCTTTTTGGTTTTTCTCCCTCATCCATAATTCCTTTTCCACCAAACTTTATTCATGTTAATAAATAAGCTGGCATGCAAAGGAGGGTAACATTTAAAAGACAATTCCACTTAAAAATCAGGGGGAACAAACAGGCTTGCACTTGGGCAAATAAAACTAAATACAAGAATNCTTAAAAATCGGGGGGAACAAACAGGCTTGCACTTGGGCAAATAAAACTAAATACAAGAATAAGAAAAAGATGTCTGCTTAAAATCAATATAAACATTATCAACATTGATTTTTTCCTTATATACAGAAGCATAATCTGGATCTGTACAAATTTAAGACAAAAAACCTACTACCTTTGGGAAGATTACAAAGGGAGGACTACACGAACCCCAGCAAAACAAACCTGGACAGCCAGTGACTCCTCTTATGCGACCCGGTGGCGCAGAGGGGAGAGTGCACTGAGCTGTGCGTGGAAGCGGCCAGAGCCCGTTGAAATGGTGCAAACTGTCTGGAGGAAAGAGTGGGTAGAGTGAGAAGAGGGAACCCAAAAGGAGAGAGTCTGAGATGTGTTTAAATGAACTTGAGAATTCTGTGGAACTTCAGGCCTGCTGCTTCTCAAGCGGATTCCGCTCAGGCTGGTGTAATTATTAAATCACCCATTCCCATGTCTGTTCCACCCGTAAATATTTCTGTATTGAGGAACCCTGGCTGGGAACATGGAGGCTCACTCTGATCTTTCCCAGCTGTCCTGGGGCTGGACTTCTCCAGACAGCCCTTGGTTAGATTCAGCCTGGAGGCTGAACCCACACAGCAGGCACACGTATTCTACACACACACTGATTTGTTATTTTATTTACATGGAATCATATTATAACACTTTACACTCCTTTCTGACTCTTGGTTTCCTTATACCAGTCAGCTGATATAGTTCTGTTTTTAATTCATTTCTTGGTATAACACTGGTTGATAACATCATATAAGTTTCACGTGTACAATTCTTTAGTACATCAGCTGTATATTGCATCGTGTGCTTACCACCCAAAGCTAGTCTTCTTCTGACACCATATGATATAGTTCTAATTATTTTCTACTGACTACATAATATTCTGTGTGTGAATACAACACAATATATTCATTACTGCGCAGAGATTTTGCCTCCTCAGAACAATAAGTCTTTGAATACATGTCCTTACCCCTGACATTTTGCTGGGGTTTTGCTTTCTAAGCGCACTCGAAGGAAGTTCCAGAAGCCCTCGGCTCCAACAACATGGAGTTAAGCGAAAGGACCACATAGCACAAGGATGTCCATCCCTTCCCCAGCAGGAGTCAAGAGCAAGCTTTCCCTGGGCACCATACTAAACCGATCCTACCCTGGGTCTTCTACCTCAGTCATCAGGAAGGTAAGTGCTGTGAATGGGACCCAGCACACTGGGTCCTGAGATGTAGACAATGGAGAACAAAGCCTCTAGCCAACTCTCTGCCGACAGGCAGTGTGAGCAAGAAGAAAAAACCTTTGTTATTTTAATACGGTGTGGGGGGTTACTTCTGTTTGTTTTATGGGGTGCTGTTTTGTTTTACTTGTGTGGCTTTCCCCCCACAGCATAACCTAGCCTAGCCTAGAACCAGTGTGACTAGAGGGCTGGTAGGAGACGAGGGCAGAAAGGTAATGAGTCCATCCACGTGGGCTCTTGCAGGCCTTTGGCTTTTGCAAGACTTGGCTTTTATTCTGAGTGTAAAGGGAAGCAATTGAAGGGTTTGGGGCAAAGAAGGGAAATGATCTGACATGTCTTAACAGGATCACTATGGCTGCTGTGTTGAAAATCCATCAAACAGGAGTAAAGAACAGAAGCAAGAAGACCAGGGGCTACTGCAATAATGCTGATGAGAAATGACGGGCTTGGACAGGGCCGTTAGTGGTGGAGCAGTGGAAAGGGATATCTATTTTGAAAGGTAGAGACAAGGGTTAACAGTGTTTCTCTCTGGAAAGTCAGATTTGGTTGGAGTCAGCTAAGACTTCCTGTTTGTTGTATTGTCTGAATTTGTTACACTAAGTATATATTACCTTAAATTCAAATAACTTGTAAATTTAAACAGATCTAACGGAAAGTATGAATGAGTAGGATCTCATTTTATGTACAAATTCCATTCTACAAACCCACCCACTCACTAATACACACACACACACACCTGATAGACTCAAAAATGTTAACAGCACTTATCTCTAGAGGAAAAAAGTATGGATAGTTTTAAATTTATTTGTATTTATATACAAATAAAATTATTATATGCAATAAATATATGTTGCTTTTGTAATTAGGAAAAAACAGGTATTTTTTAAAAAAGAAAATGAAAGACAAAAATTCATACCTCATCAATACTGGCTCTATGACTGGGCAATTATAGTTAACTATATCTACTTAATATTTATTGCTTATAAATGCATTAGCCTCTGTAATTCACTGAAAAAGAATACATTAATATATTTTAAATTATACTGAACAAAGATCCAGAAAATAAAAACTTTTTTAAAAAAATCAAGGTTCTCAATCCTTAAATACCTTATGATAAGCTTCTGCTTGACAAATATAGCTTTGAATATATGAAGGATCAAGTTTAAGAGCCTCAGAAAAATACCGAATGGCTTCAGTATAGTTATCCAAGTGTAGTAGATATATGAGGCCAATATTTATATAAGCCAAAGTAACAGTTCTAAAAAAATGGGAAAGCAAAATCTTGTTAGACATTTTAATTACTCTAAGTGTTCTCCAATTATGAATGAACTTAATGAAATACATCAATATATAGTAGGTTTCTTTTACTGTCTCATTACAGCAAAGTAAATTAATTAACCACTCTTTGTTAAAAATTATAAACACCTTTATAAAATCCTAAGCAGAGAATGAACATTTGTTAAGTTTGTGCTAAGAACAGAATTCCTGAAGTCTTCTAGACTCTTAGCAATACTTTACTCTTCCTTGACTTAATCTTGATTTATCTTGAGTTACAAGCTCAGGTTTCCTCAACTCAAAAGTTTCAGGGCTCTCTCTGGGTGGCTCAGCTGGTTGGAGTGCCGTCCCGTACACCAAAAGGTTGCAGGTTTGATCCCCATTTGGGGCACCTACTGGAGGCAACCCATCGATGTTTCCCTCTCACATCAATGTTTCTCTCCCTTCCTCTCTCTCTAAAAATCAATAATATATGTATTATAGTTAATACATATACATATTATACACACACACATATATATATATACACACATCCTCAGGGAAGATTAAAAAAAAGTTTTTGCCTCAGGTTATATTATATCCGCCATGAGAAACAATGATAGTCCCAGGCCTGGGGTTAAATATCCTCTCCGCGTAGGTATTAACCCAGCTTCTTTTATATAGCAAATAAATGTTTTCTCTTTTAGAATCAAACAATTTTCAATATATAAATGACCTTAGAAATTACCTATTCAATGCCTCTATTTCAAAATTAGGAAACTACACATCTTACAACCCACCTTCATGGAAGCCCTGACCCCTTACCTAAAAGACACCAAAGTTCTTACTGCCCATGTTTTGGCTTTTTGCAACTGAAACTCCCATCTTTCCTTTTCTGGCTCAAAAATATCCAAAGAAAACCACTGTGGCTACTCTGGAGCCATACTCCATGACTTTCCTGAGTTAAGTTCAAAATGTACCTTATTGATAAGCTGAGTAAACAGCCTGGTGATTGGCATGGAATTCTCATGCTTTATTACTCTTTCTGACATCTTCCATTTTAATAAATGCTTCATTGGGAAAAAGGAGGAAATATTTTATTAAATTTTGTTTTACAGCTTAACTTTCTGACTAGTGTGTATTATGTTCAGTCTGTGTTCCTTATACACACTAGTTCTAAATGTTATTGGCTTTTTTCCTTTTGCTTTACTAAGTAAAATGAAGTCAGAAGTTCTAAATAGAAGTTTCCTTCTTTTGAGTTGTGTGTTGTGCATAGCAATGATATATCAAGCGGATATTTTGTCATCAATTTAAAACTTGATGACAGTGTTGCATAAAGTTAACTTCGAAAAGCTCTAACCTGGACACCCCCAAGCTCCTTTTACAAACGTGTGTTTTTGTTACTCATGGATTTAATTCTTCACAAACCCATTCAAGCTCTAAAATTTTCAAAAGCATCTGAGGCAAAACAGATGTTAACAACAGGTCTTATTTTAGAAGTAATCTTATAGTTAGAAGTAATATTCTAATTCTAGCATACTTCATAATTGTCTCACTTTTATTTTTTATTTTTTAATTTTACACAAAAGGGATGTCAGTAAAAATGAAAAGGAATACCTACCTTTCTAGAGAAATAACAGTTTCAAAGTCACAAATCGCCAGCCACCAAAGTTTTAGATCTGCGTAGAGTATGCCCCGATGTAGAAAACAACCATGATTCTCATAGCCATCGTTTATGAGAGCTTAAAAATAAAAGTGTATTTCTTATTCAGGTTCTGAACAAATATATGAGTTATATTTTAGTCTATACCCTTCCTATTTCTTTTTTAAGATTATATAAAAGAAAATATGTCTACGGTGAGTGTACTTATTTAAGAGTACAAAATAGTATTCACATAAAATGTACTTGTTTATAAGTAACATTGTAGCTATCATGGTTCACAAATTCTTTAGAGCTGGAATAAATCCTGGTGGTAATCTAGGCGAGGCCACTCACTTGACAGATGAAGAGATTAAGGTCCAGTGGGGTGGGACTTGATACACTGACCAGGGTTGTGATTAAGATCAATGGCAAAGATGGGCCTAGAATCTAGAACTGAACTTCTCATTCATTTCAGTGGATTGCAGTCAGAAGGGTGCCATTGCCCCTGATGGCCCTAGTCACTAGGACCTAGTGGAAGACAGGAAGACTTTTTTTTTTTTTGCTAATGGCCAAAGAACAGTCTTTAGATATTGCCTCATCTAGGATTCTAGCTCTTTGCGCCCAGGTGAACATAGTCATGTTTGTTACAAATCCAGACTGGGGCACACGGCAGAGTTCTAGCTGACACACATAAACACAGATTGGCAACTCCAAGAGGCTACTCCAAGGGAAGGAGAACTTGGAATTAAGGCAGATAACTTGACCACACATGTCCCAAATAACAGAAGCTTGGGGCAAAAAAAGCCTCCTCTCAATACTCCAGGTCTGTGGCTCTCTCATCAGTAACCAGTCAAGAGGTCACCTCACGTCTCCTCACTTACTGATTCCCCTTTCACTGTCCAAAGCATGCTACTGAGTCGGACGGGTTTCCACAATATTCGATCCCCGCCTTCTATGCTTCTCAAGCTTGTTCTGGCAAAGAAGGGGAAGTTTTACCAAAGAGTGTGCATTGTTCTCACAGATGGGTCGCAAATATTCATAGTACTAGATTTTAGGAAGAATGCTTGGTGTAAAAAATGGTCATATAGCTTAAGGAAATAATCCCTTGAAGGCTGTCTTGACTGTTCAGTTCACAGTATGATTGCTAGCAAAGAGGAAGTCAGCTGCAATTGGTTGCTCTGGAAAAATGGAAGAATACTTCCTAAGGAAACAAATATTAGAATTACTTAACTTCCCTGTGCCTTGCTTTTCTCATTAGTAAAACAGGGATGATATTAATGCCCCCTCATAGCATTATTCTGAATATTAATTGAGACACTCCATATATAGCACTTAGAATAATGTTTAACAAGAAATTAATGCCCAAGAAATGTTAGATGTTATTATTAGCTTAGAAAAACACCCTGAAGTTCCTTTTTGACTGTAGAAGATAAAACTCCTTAGGCTAGACTAGGAAAGAATTAAGGCCAAAATCAAGATGATCTACTCTGAATAATTAACTAACAAGGATTTTGTATTATTGTGATAGCTTAGAAAAGAGGGGTGAGAAAGCCAAAACATGGAGAAGGGGGAACATGAGAAAGAGGCCTTCAGAGGCCAGGGTGAAAGGGGCTCAGCCAGATGGCAGACGCACAGAGTTGAATGAGTTAGATAAACTTACAGAGATAGGGGTGACCGACATTCAAATTAAACTGTCCATGCTAACTTTTATCCTTTGAACCCTAAAACATTCAGTAACAGACGGTGGCCACAAGAAATGAGTGGGTGAGCAAAAAATGGAGAATCAATCAGAGGGTGAAAGTTAGCTACAAAGATTACAAGAGAATTAACTAGGAATCCGAAGTCCTCTCTTCCAAGAAATCTTGGAAATAGAAGGGAGGGCACTAAACTCCTCTTGGCACATAGAGTGGGATATAAGTTATTTTATTTGAATAGTCATAAAAAGGGTGACCTTTTCAGAAAGCAAGTGGACTTGAGAGACATCAGATAACAATCATCTTAGATTGCCTGCCCGAGCAGCTCTGTATTCTCTTTGAGAGGCTAGTTGCCTCAATCTCTAGATGTTGCCGCATCTAGGAGCCCAGCTCTTTGCACCCAGATGAGCATAATCGCGCTTGGAGCGTGGGGGGGAATTTGCCGGTCTGGATGAGCTAATTTATTCAGCTAGGGACTGTTTACTGAGCAGTCCACTCTGTGCCCAGAATTGTGCTGGACGTATTTACATCCCAAAAATGCACTGATAATAGGGTCAGGAGGAAATGGCCACCTTCAGCTGCTGCCATCCTCTTACTGAAGATTATCAAAGCCCATTTTTAGTTTGGGGATTAAGAAAATTCTGAATGTGACTAATCCATGGGCTTGGTTTATGCAGTAGGACATAGCCCACCAAGGAAATTCACTACCATTTTAGCAACTAAACGAGAATTAGATTAGCAAATAGACTTGAATTTCCAGAAATATCCTCAGGACTCAAAATGTAGAAAGGGATTTCTTTGATCATGATATTCTCTTTTTGCCACAATTATTCACACATGTAAATACATGTATACTTGCATACATTAAAAGGGCATATTAAAAACACTTTTAGTTAAACTATTGAAGCTTATAAGCATATATGAATATATATTAGGTAAATGTACATTAAAAATGTATATATAGATATAACTATATAATAATATACATATTACATTAGTCATCCCACTTTAGTATTCCACTCGGTGAAAGTGATATGTTGAACCTCAGATCAAATACCTATATATGTGCAGTTGAAGACAAAGTACCTGAAACACTATAATCCTGTAGCGCTCTAAAAGGGTTACTCTTTCTAAACAAGCAGGCTCTGTAATACAGTGCTAACCAGTTACTAGGATCTAAGTGAATTGCAACAGAAAAATCTTGAGTTGCTTGCTTATAAAAGTGCCGTTTAAAATATGCTCTCCCTCGGTATGTCCTAGAAAGAGAAAAGAAATTCATTTTAACATGTATTGAAAAATATACATTTTTTCTGTTTGGCAAACCTATACAACTAATTTCATATTTAAAAATTTGTGATTGGCCCTGGCCAGGTATCTCAGTTGGTTAGAACACTATCTTCATACACCAAGGTTGCAGGTTCGATGCCTAGTCAGGGCACATGCAAAAATCAACCAATAAATGCATAAATAAGTGGAACAACAAATTGATGTCTCTCTCTCTCCTCTCTCTCACTCTCTCTCTCTAAAATCAATTAATAACTTGTGATTGTTTCTCCTTGCTTTCCAATAAAGTTTGATTATAAAATTAATAGCAAAAAGGATATACACTGT